TAGCAGTGAAGTCGCCAAAACACGGCCACTCGGCCAGCCGCCTGTCGAGGATCCACACGTCCCTACACAAGTCAATATGCTCCCCGTTGCCTAGCGTCCACCGCAAGATCGGTCGTATTGCGGTGGCCCCATCTTGAATGACCTTCCACGTAACCGAGACGTTACGTGCCACCGTAGACCTCCACGGATCATCTCCATATTTTTCACGTAGCAGCCGGTGGAGCCACATTCCCGGTTCATTGATAAAGTTCCAGGCTAGCTTAGCCCGAAGGGGGCCTTGCCACATCATGGTAGAATGAAATCCCAACCCACCTTGTGAAGTAGGACGGCACAACTCATCCCAAGCCACATAGTGAGTGCCCCGATGATTGCCGTCCTTCCACCATAAAAATTGTCTTCCGATCTTGTCCACCTTAGCTAACACACTTCTCGGGACACTCGTAAGTGTCAAACAGTACATCGGGGTGTTGAGAAGTGCCGTCCGAATTAATGTAGCCCGGCCAGCCAAGGATAGGTGACGCCGTCCCCAAACCTGCACCTTTTCCGCCGCCTTCCTCAAAAGATTGGCGAAATCAGACGCCACCAAGCGCCTCATAACAAGAGGCAGACCTAAATACTCCAGCGAGGTAACCATGCCAAAGCCCAGCAGTCGAGCAATCCTCCTGCACCTCCACCGTGGGCACCGCTTATTAAAAAGGACAGCAGATTTGCCTTGATTGATCACCTGCCCAGTCCAGGCACAGTAGTCTTTAAAAATGCCTTGAATCCTCTTGGCATTACCAACCGAGGCTTCAGCAAACGCGACAATGTCGTCCGCGTATAATAAATGAGAGACACGTTCGCCATTAGGAACAATTTGAACCCCAAGATGATCCCCACGCTGGCGAAAGGCTTTCGAAAGCAGCTCGGAGCACAGAATAAACAAGTATGGCGACAGAGGGCAGCCCTGTCTAAAGCCGCTCGCAGCATTGATCCAATGTGATCGGTTGCCGTTGAGCACAAAAGCAAACCGTGGGTTCGTGACACATTCGGTGATCCACCGAATGAAATTCATAGAGAAGCCCATATCCGACATCACCCTATGTAAAGTGTCCCACGCCATACAGTCATAAGCCTGTTGCATGTCAATCTTGAGCGCCATCAGCCCCGAGCATTTAGTAGAGTGCTGGAACTTGCACATAACCTCCTGCGCAATCAAGCCGTGATTGGAAATAGAGCGGCCAGGGACAAACGCCCCCTGCTCCTCACTAATAACGTTCATCAGCACCGGTTTGAGTCGGTTCACCAGGATTTTAGCGACCACCTTGTAGAAGGTTTGGCAGAGGCTAATTGGCCGAAAATGAGCCGGGCAATTAGCGTTGTTATTCTTGGGCAGCAGGATAACAATGGTGTCCTTCCAGCTTGGACACATTAGGCTATTACTAAAGAAGTCCAAAACAGCACAACAAACATCGTTTTTTATAATAGTCCAATAAAACTTAAGAAAGGATGAGGTGATACCATCCATTCCCGGGGCCCGGTTGTTGCCCAAACTGAAGACCGCCGCCTGGACGTCCGCCTCCGTGATCGCAGCATCCAACATTTGCCGGCTATGATCAGAAATGCCCTCCGAGACATCAAACCGTGGCCACCCGGCAAAGTTCGTTTGCCTATCTTTCCACTTCTCCACAAAAAAATTCCAGAATTCCTCCTGGATGACAGTGGGGTCTCGGGTGGTAACACCATCACTGCATTTGAGCTCCGCCACCCGATTAGCTCGACGCCGAGCAGAGGCCGCCATATGAAAAAAATGGGAATTCGCATCTCCCTCTTCGATCCACCGAATCTTAGCACGTTGGCGCCACCAAACCGAGATACGGGCAAGTGTGGCATTGAACTCCCCAACCGCACACCGCAACTCCTCTTCCTGAGCCGTACTCAGCCCATTAGCCGTGCAATCAATCTCCTGCAATTCACCAATTTTTCCTTCCAGCTGTTCTTTTTTTATGCCCAACTCCCTTATCCTATTGCGGCTCCAGTGGACAAGTGACTTTAACGTGCGGGAGCATTTCCGGTTAAGCACTTCTGCCGGGCGACCAAAGTCCCTTTTACTCCATTGATCGTGAACCACCCGCCAAGATGCCGGATAAGTCTTCCACACATCCTCAAAGCGGGTCCATTTAAAATTGGGGGTATTATTCCCCCTTCCGACGTGTAATAAGAGCGGACAGTGGTCCGACGCCACCCGTGAAAGATGACGCACCGACGCGAAAGGTGCAGCCGCCAACCCTTCCGAGTTCATAAGGACCCTATCCAATCTCACCCAGATGCGACTAGCTCCGTCCTTATTATTCGACCAAGTGTATCGCGGTCCCTCAAATCCGATGTCGTGCAAGTCGTTATCACCCATGAAGGCGACCATCTCCTGAGCCCCAGCCGAGAAACGGAACCGCTTTCCACCTTTTTTCTCCTCTTGGGACAAGCAGCAATTGAAGTCGCCGCCCACAATCATAGGGCCATGGTTCGCAGCGGCCAGCCCGATTGTGTCCCAAAGAAGCCGGCGAACATGGAAGTCTTTGTTGGCATAGACAATGGCAACAGTCCAAGTGCGCAACCCCGGGAGCGTGAGTTGCCCGATCATACACTGATCCATCATATTGACAACAGTGAATTGAGCAATGTCAGCCCGCCACATAGCAAGAATACCTCCCGACTTGCCGATCGCAGGGTGATGAACAAACTCCCAACCCGAGCCCACCAACCTACGCAAACCAAATGTCATTGCGAACATCAACACGGGTCCCGTCGCCAATAGTCCAGCGGAGGACCGGGCGTAAAGCAGCAGCCCCATCATGAAGAATTTTCCACGTACTGGACACATTTCTGCTTTCCAAAGTCTGCCACAAATTATCACCATACTTCGCTGTAATAATACGGCTGAGGAGGGAGTCCTTGTCCCTCAAAATACCCCAAGCCAATCGGGCCCGCAAGGGCCCTTGCCAATCAGCGGATGCATGAAAGCCCAAGCCACCTAAGACAGACGGACGGCACAGCACATTCCAACGTACATAGTGCAATCCCGACTTCGTGGGGTCCTTCTGCCAAAGGAATTTACGAGCAAGAGTTTCAATTTTATGAAGAACGCCTGTCGGTACCAAGGAGTGGGTCATTAAATACATAGCCGTCGAAAGTAGTGAGGTTCTGATCAAAGTCGTCCTCCCGGCCAGGGAGAGATGCCGTTTACCCCACGTGTTGGTTTTCTTGGTAACATTCTGAAGGATTTTAGAAAAATCAGAGGCAACTAGCTTCCTCATGGCTAGGAGTAAGCCAAGGTATTCAAGGGTCTGAACCCGACGGAATCCCAAATTAGTGGCAATTCTACGTTGTTTCCATCCCGGCGTCTTCTTACTAAAGAGAATTGCAGATTTTGCATTGTTAATGCATTGTCCCGTCCACTGACAGTAGGCTGAGAGAATTCCTTGAATCTTCGTGGCATTAGAGCCGCTGGCCTCCGCAAAAATGAGGATGTCGTCGGCATAGAGAAGGTGTGAAACACTCGGCGCATCCCGTGCCACCCGCAGCCCGAGTGAATGGCCCCGTTGAGTGAAGGCCTTAGTGAGTAATTCAGAGCATAGGATGAATAAATACGGCGAAAGGGGGCAGCCCTGCCGAAAGCCACAGCGTCCCTCGATCCGGTCCGTCCTGCAACCATTAATAAGCAACTGGAAAATAGGGAAGGAGATGCATTGGATTACCCAGGTCGTGAAGCGGTGCGGAAAGCCCATGCAGTCCATCACTTGCCGAAGAGTGTCCCAAGACATGCAATCGTAGGCTTGCTCCATGTCGACTTTTAGGGCCATTAGCCCACCACGTTTAGTAGTATGCTGGAAGGTGCAAAAGAGCTCTTGGGCAATAAGGCCATGATTGGAGATAGACCTCCCAGGGATGAAGGCCCCCTGCTCCTCCCCAATAATGGCAGCCAGGATCGGCTTCATTCTCCCAACAAGGATCTTAGCCGTCACCTTATAAAGAGCTTGGCAAAGGCTAATCGGACGAAACTTTGATGGTGCACAAGCATCTTCCACTTTAGGGATCAGAATAATCAGCGTTTCCTTCCAGTCTTTGCACATGGTACTAGTATGAAAGAAATTCCGAATTGCAGCCAGGACCTCCACCTTAATGATCTCCCAATAGAATTTCAGAAAAGAAGAAGTAATCCCATCTTTACCTGGTGCCCTGTTGTTTCCCATAGTAAAGATAGCCTTGCGGATTTCAGCATCGGTGACATCTGCCACAAGACCAGATGCAAAGTCCTCGGGAATCATATTCTCACTGTTGAATGCAGGCCAATCCTCCAAATTGACTTCACGGTCCCTCCACTTAGCCCGGAAGTAGCCCAGGAATTCCTCCATAATACGGCTGGGTTCCGTGACCGTGCCTCCCTCCGCAGACAGAGTGGACACAATGCGATTGTCCCGCCTCCGACTCGAGGCCACGACATGGAAGAAATGCGAGTTGGCGTCGCCCTCCTCGATCCACCGCACCTTGGCCCTTTGTCGCCACCAAATAGTAATTCTAGCCAAGGTGTCATTAAGCTCACCAACCGCCCTCCGAAGTTCAGCTTCCTGCATCTCCGTAAGACCCCTCGGGGAGCAATCCTCTCCCTGTAATTCCAGAATTTTCCGCTCCAATTCAGCCCGCAATCTAGTAAGGTTCCGAATTCTGTCTCGGCTCCAGAAGAAAAGAGCACGAATGGTTCTCCTACATTTCCGTTCCAGCACGGATTCTGGGTCCCCAAAGTCATGCTTGTTCCAATTTTGCCACACCATCCGCCAGGATCCCGGGTAAGTAGTCCAGACGTCTTCAAAGCGGAGCCAATTGTCGCGGTTGGTAACTGTTCGGGAACGCAAAGAGAGAAGAAGAGGGGCATGATCCGATGCCACCCGTCCCATATGCCGAACAGTTGCAAAAGGGGCAGCTTTTAGCCCTTCCGAATTAAATAAGCACCGGTCTAGGCGTAC